TACTCATTTCGTGTTCATTTCTGTTCCTTCACGTCTGTTATGGATGTATTAATGCTTAAAATTGTTGAACATGAGTTTTAGATTGTGATGGTTTTAGTTAAATTCTTATAGCTATTTCGATCAAGTTTTTTGGAAACAATGACACCAGCACTTTGTTCAAATTAAAACGTCATCTGGTCATTCGAATCGTATGACTGACATTTTTTCTAATTTAGAGTTTGTATCAATTAATTCAAGTTTGTTGTCTATGGATGAAGGACCATGGTTGAAATCGATACCCCATGACCCAAAACGGCAACTGGTCGTTTTAAACGTGTAGATGACGTTTATGCTCATTCAGCGTTCGTTTCGATTTATTCGAGCCCGTAACCACATAAAAGTGGCGGGATGAAGGTTTTAAATACTTTTCCAAACATTTCATCAGTCCATGGCTCGGCTTGGAAACTACCCTACCCTTAGCAACAAATGAAAAACTTAAGTGGCTAGTATGTTATCCAAAGCATAGCGCGTGCATTCCATCCAATGATAGTGAGTCTTGCATGATGTTTCGAATACTGTTTTACTAGTTCCGGAGTGAAATCGAGACCTCGTGACCCAAAACGGCAACTGGTCGTTTTAAACGTGTAGATGACGTTTATGCTCATTCAGCGTTCGTTTCGATTTATTCGAGCCCGTAACCACATAAAAGTGGCGGGATGAAGGTTTTAAATACTTTTCCAAACATTTCATCAGTCCATGGCTCGGCTTGGAAACTACCCTACCCTTAGCAACAAATGAAAAACTTAAGTGGCTAGTATGTTATCCAAAGCATAGCGCGTGCATTCCATCCAATGATAGTGAGTCTTGCATGATGTTTCGAATACTGTTTTACTAGTTCCGGAGTGAAATCGAGACCTCGTGACCCAAAACGGCAACTGGTCGTTTTACACGAGTAGATGACGTTTATGCTCATTCAGCGTTCGTTTCGATTTATTCGAGCCCGTAACCACATAAAAGTGGCGGGATGAAGGTTTTAAATACTATTCCACAC